GAAACAAAAAACACCCCTTTCCTATTGGTGGAAAAATGTACTATGTGGACCAATCAAAAATGATATGGCAACATGGCATTTGTTTGTTTAGGAACAGGGGGGAAGTTTTACGAATGACAGCAGCGAAAGAGCGAAAGAAAGAGAGAGAGCGAGTTTTGAGATGTGAGAGATTTGTGACGTTTAGCGTGTTTAGAGTGTCTAGTGTAGTAGATCGTTTTGTTTTGTGTGTCAAAACAATGAATGGACTGCTGAATGTCACAGTTGCTGCCAAAAAGCCACCAAAGGCAGATTACAGCGTAAACGCTGTCTCCAGGGGCAAAAGGGAGGAGTGATACATCTCCTGCTGTCAGGCCTGCAGGTATCAGGCTTGTAATGTTTTCCTCTGTTTTATTGTGGACAGAAATTATTTTTTGGAGTGGCACAAATAATTTGTTTGACTTCTTTTTTGATGCAGAACACCTGATTGTTCTGTAAATAGTTCTATCTAAAGGTTCTATCAGGTGTTTATTAGCTTTTCTCACCTTTGGAACATTAACTTCAAATGGTCCCGATTTGTAGATTGCCATGGCGGCCCCATTGAAGAAGAACTCAGAGATGCCCACATAGACCATATGGTTAGTCTCTGTGAAAACTGGTTCTATGCCTGGCTTTATTGAATTAGTGTCCACATCCTTCCCGTGTACAAACATTAAGCCCTGAAACACACACAAAGTTATGATCTTTACAGAGTAGAAACAGAAACAAGCAAAATAAAACCTCGAAGTCATAAAATCATCAAGGTGATCTGCCCAAGAATCTCAAGCATTTATACAATACAGCTTTATTTGTGTAGCACATTTAAAACCAGAGGTAGCCAAAGTGCTTCATATAATCCAATAAAACAGTAGTAAGATACAAAAGCAGATAAGCTAGCAGATGGCAGGCATGTATGTGTGTATGTCATGATAAAAAGATGATTTCATTGTATCACATTACTATTAAACTGTTAGCAGTCGGACGTACCGCCCACGGGACATTGGATGGTTTAGGGGACTAATAGGACTGCTAAGGGGTTAACCCAGATGCTAAGATTCTTTCCAACAGACTTAATGTTGTCCAGCAGGGAAACAACTGATGGTGGCATTTGTTTAACCTGGTGTCCACTGATAATTTTCTCTGATTTGTGTGAGATTTTTTATTAGATGTCAAATTTTCAACTTCACAACAGCTGGCATCAAGAAAACCGAACATGCCAGGGTCTCTACACCTTAAAGTGCTCTGATTTCTAACCAGGTGTTAATGTCTGTAGGGTTATGTTCAGTCAGAATAATTTAGTGTTTCTCTATATTACCTTGAAAGACATATCAAGGCTCCTCGATGTCACTGCAATATCACTGCTCAGGGAGTAGTCAAGGTCTAATTGGCGGCCTTCATGCACAGTCTTTATCATGGACAAGTCCTTCAGCTTGTTATTTATCATAGGCTGAAGAGCAGGACAGATCTACAGACACACAAACACTTGTGAACCACACAGATGTCATAAGATCTGCAAAAGCCAGATTAGTACTGAAAAAGGAAAAAACAAAAGTCTAATATGGGTTGACAGTAGTTCAGGAGGAGAGCAGTTCATTCACTAATTAGATGGTTGGCTATTCAATCCCTAGCTTCGCTGGTCTCCACAGGGGTTGGCAGTCCTTACACATTTGGCTGTCACTTGGTGTTCGCTCTCTCTGCGGTAGAGTATCATGTTCTATTCCTGTTTCAAAACACGGTGGTGTTTTTGAGTAGCTTATCTGCATAGCAATTAACAAAACTTTTAGATAACTTATTTTTTCATAGTATAATCTTCATTTGAAGCACACTCTCTGTGTACGCACTCCCACCTGGGCCTTACACAGAGTTTCTGTCTGATTTCTCAGATGTTTTATCTGATTTAGTTTTCAGCTCAGATAAAATAATTATTGTGAGTGATTTTAACATCCATGTAGATGCTAAAAATGACAGCCTCAACATGACATTTAATCTGTTATTAGACTCAATTGGCTTCTCTCAAAATGTAAAAGAATAATAATAATAATTTCACCTCCTCAATACGTACGACTCTGGATACTGTAGCTCCTGTGAAAACTAAGGCCTCAAATCAGAAGTACCTGACTCCGTGATATAATTCTCAAACACGTACCCTAAAGCAAATAACTCGTAAGCTGGAGAGGAAATGGTGTGTCACAAATTTAGAGGATCATCATTTAGCCTGGAGAAATAGTTTGCTGCTTTATAAGAAAGCCCTCC